CCACAAACATCAGTCGAATGTTAAGACTAACCTTCAGCGCATTCAACGCCTCGGCTTCATGAGGACTTTGGATTCGGTGGGCCAATAGCCGGCAGGCAACCAGATGGCCTTCTAGCTCTTCGTTGACCTGCTCGCAAAAACCGCTAATGAACTGCGGGCGTTCGGATTCGTCCAGAAATGGGTCGCATGCCCGAGCTTAAATAAAAACAAGTAACGCCACTAACAAACGAAACGCAGCAGAATTTAACTTATCCAGTATTCCAAGGAGCGATTATCTTTCACTGGTTCGTTCGCCATGGACCAATCAGTCCGAGGACTTCACCCTTCGAACAGATGATGGGCGGTTTGGTGGTACAGTAACGCAAATGATTTGGAGGTCTCTGAGAAGAGAAGAACATTCGAGCTCGATATTATGCGATTTTGCGCTGTTCTCCGAAAAGCGGCTCATATGGAAAATCTCATCTTGCTTTAAAAGTAACGAAAATGCAAACAGACTATTTCGATGGCCGCTTATCCTGTCCAGCTGGAGTCGTTATGGATGAGTCAGAGCAGAGACCAGCAAACTCTTGATGACAAATCTCCTCGTTTCGATAAATTGCAGTCAGTAATGAGAAGTCCAAAGATGCCCCTGTAATGCCGTTATTTCACCGGTGATGAACAGCATCACAGTACTGACAGATGAATAACTAAATTTTCGTGATACTACCATGGACCACAGTTGCTAGATAGCAGGAATCATCGACATTGCTATTCCCTTGTTGTATAAGTGCAGACTTATTGAGGCAACATGCACATACAGAACTACGCATTATAGGCGCATTCAAGAGGCATTTCAATAAGAGTATTAGAATTCAGTTCTGCAAATAATCATTGATAGCGGCCTTGCGATCATGGAAATACAAACAAAACCACTTAAAATGTGTTGCACATCAATATTGGGTTTTTAAAAAGGTGTAGGGCTATACGTAGACGCTACACTGATTAGTTCGCGTGAAATAAATCATGCTTAAACGAACCCCAGACATACGTATAGACATTCCAAGCATCACACTGAAAAAAATGGAAGAGATTAAGCACATCAAACTATGCCTACACTGACTCTAATTCTCTGGAACTCCGAAGAGCAAGATCAAGTAAAAATGGTCATATTTACTTCTATATGTCATTGTACGGAATATTCATTTCGAGAAAGATAACTCCTCACAAAGGCAATTCATATTCTATGCCTGGTTGTGAAGATAGAGCGCATGTTCTAATAGAAGAGCATGGCTTTTGAGAGATATTAACTAGTGAAAAACAATTATTTTTATTCGATATTCGAAATATTTTAGCTGAGAGAATACTTCGTTCGCGCGTGCATCATACTATAGTATCATAAATCCGACGACGTTTCAGAGATCCTATTCCAGGCGGCAGAGTATCATGAATTTCTTCTTCCTCCTCATCAGTTAATGGATTCCGATTCATAAGGCAAGTTTTCGGTTTGTGCTGCTAGTTAAATGGGTTTTGAAAGACAGGGGTGACGAGGCTGATTACTTCGTTTTTCACGATTAATGGCTACTTTTCGTGCTCAAGCAGCCGAAATCTCTTTTTAATGATGTCCATATACTCAGACCATTGAGGGAGTGTCCTTGTGTGGCTGCATACTGCACAATCTCGGAAAAAACCTCGCACCGTTGACTTTACAAGTGGACCAGGCTTTATTTCCTTCTCGGCTGCTTCGTTGTCACGTATCAATGACTTTTTTTTAGTGGTATCGTTGTTATTGCCGAATATTATCACTGCGCATTTATCATTGGATTTCTATCGGTTATTGCAGTAATGTGCTTGACTTTAGAGTCCGAATATGCAAAAATTAGTTGTACAAATCCGTTATTATAAAACATTAGTTTGTAAACATGTGGATCACAACGAATATACTGAATCGTGCTTGCAGCATCAAGTGAACGACTAAAAGAAGCGTGCGCCGGCGCTCTGTTGCTGAGCCCGTAGGATGAGGGCGAGGGGAAAACGTTTGTGGCCCGGAACTTTGAAATATAATTCTAAACTTCGTGGGATATCAGAACAACATAGTTTGTTCGAGCGACGTTTCATTCGTCTTTATCGTCCTCTGCGATGACAAAGGCTTCTGCAACAGTCACTGGCAGCGACGACGATCGTGGCCGGCGTCCATCTCTGCAGCTCGGATCGTTTTCTTCGTTGGCCGTGGAACCACCTTGCTTTTCGCAGGAGATTTTCGAATGCTGTCGGGACGGTGATTTGGAACGGGTCAGAAAGCTGGTGGACCGAAGCACTGTAAACATGCGCGATTTTACGGGTAGAAGGTGTACACCACTGCATATCGCAGCAGGTAAGTGCCTGAGGTTCCTCACAAAATGTTTTTTATGATTGATGTTTGGTGGTTTTGATTGGAAGTATTTCGTTGTACTCTTAACTACTGGTAGAGTGATTTGGAATGCGTGGCTTTGCTATGTCTCCTTCAACTCCTGGGGGAATAATATCCAGGATTTGACGGAAACGTCGGTTTCCATTCCATCGTCACTTTAGATGTATACACTTGCTTCATCTGTTTTCACTGTATTCACCCAGAGAGGTCCTACAGTCTCAGTTTGACCGGCTTCAAGTTTAGAGGTTAGGACTCAAGTATTCTTACTCAACATAAAATAACTTAATCACACTTGCAAGAAAAGTGGTGCAGAGAGGGCATTTAAAAAAAATTCATTTGTAATCCATAATTATGCATTTGAGAACGCCCTGCTTGTTCTTCAGGCGGCTCCATTCCGTTTCCGGTCAGAGAACAAACGTTTCTCTTCGTCAACGATGATTCGTTACTAGTTATGTCAGTTCTATTGCGGACCTCCTTAGGTTTCTTACGAGCTTTGCGCCGAACCCATCGTAAGTTGTCGTCACTGACAGATTGTAGGACCGTTGTCATGTCAGAATGGATTGGCTGCTGCTTTTGTGCAACAGGGTTGTGTTGTGTATTTTTCGAAAAAGCCGCATTCCACTGAAGTGAAGTCTTTACTTCATCGATGCAGTTAACAGCTCCTAGTATCAAAATGCAACAGTTAGAGATGAGCGGACATCATTAGTCTTAAACTGCCTACAGGTTTGCGAGGATGCTAAAGAAGATGATAACAAACAGAAGCAAGAATAGTAATTGCTTAAGGTTCGACACACCCCTCTTCACTCGCGCAAAACACGATCCAATTATTTGTTGAGATTTCTGTAAACGGGCAACAATTTTTACGTTGTAGGTTTCTGGTCTGATCTCTGTCCTTCAGCATTCTGGCATAGAAGTCTTTGACACGAACAGACTTGGATACTCTAATAGAAGTAACAGTACTACATGCCACATTACCATCACGATTAAAGTATCATTTCTAGGGAGACATTTAGTACTTACTAGTTTTCGTTTGATAATGCTGCAAATATACCTTAAAGATTATTGTCCGATACGAAGATACATGCCGTATGTTGAATATGCGACTTTTTTGTTGCTTTTTGGATTTACGCCTTGTACTGATTATCACTTTGGTTTGTCAGCTATCACGAGGTGGGTTGAGGTGAATTGCAGTCCTATGTAATGCTTGTGTGCATCAGACAGCATGGGCGTACGCCTGGTTCACTACTCCAGAATACCATATTATTTCTCTTGTTAGTATGTAAGCAACTTGTTCTTTTTTTCTTGGCTAGCTGTATCGAAACAAAGTGTAAAATGAGGCGAATTCGTTGCTCAGTGGAATTAGCGATTAAAACAAATTGTTACCTCCGGAATTCGAAGTCGAGCTCCTGCCATTCTGCCACACTGTCCCAATTAGCTTAGGTTTCATCAGTATCAAGTAGAGGTATGCAACTTACATTCATTAATGATTCTGATGATTTCTTATTTTGTTTAGTCTTATTTTAAGACTCCATTTTAACAGCAGTTTACTGCAGTAGCTTCATGAATAGTTTCCAGTGGCTACCGTTTGTTGTCGGTTGTACAAGTTCTGCGGACGAAGCTCAGAGACGCGCATGACATTACTGAACATTCATTTAATTGAATCTGTAAAGTTACCTCATGATATGTCTCCCCCTTAACTGCCTTTCTTAGGCATTGCAATTAGTGTTGTTGTTGTTATGTATCATCGTCATCTCTTGCGCGATCTGCTTAAGAGCATCACTTGTTCTAGATCAGTGATGTTCGACATTGGTGGATTGATTCTGAGAAGCACAGGTATAGGCGGATCAGCTTTAGAATATGAATAATTCCTTCACCAACCTGACCTTTGACCTTTGCCTGATCATTCTGGAAAGCCAGGGCTTTAGGCATCATTAATCTGGATGCTTTTTCCTTTACTCTAATTCCCAGGTGACGATGGCAACGACTGCAACAAAACTGAGATACTTCTTTCGCGAGAAGATCTGTTTCTGATAGTTAGATTTTACTTCTAGAAAACGCATAAAGTTTTTGTTGTTGTTGTGAGCCGCTCTTCTGGCATGACACTTGCTCATAGCGTCACTATTTTTGCTGAGACAAATAGTTTGGTGATTACATTTTGTTGTTGTTCTTGCTCCTCCGCTGTTTCTCGGAATCCAGCCTATAATAACACCGGTGTTGTCTTAACAACGCAATGTTCCTGATGCAAGCGCTAGCTGATGCTCATATTATTTTGTTGAGCTGACCGAATTAATGATTGGCTCAGCCTCTGCGTTAAATAACTTCATCCGTTTGTTTTATAGCACATTATTTCTTAATTTCCTCTGCAAAGATATATGTGGGCGATTTGATATATGTGGCACAGTATCAAAAGAGGACGGCTTGTAATTCCGGAAATGTCGTATTCGAAGCCTGAGAGGGGACTATTTTTGTCTTATCCGTGAATTCCCCTGAGCGACAAATTCATAACATAGCATAACAGATCTTTAATGTAGTATTGTCTTTTTTTATTTTGTTTCTAAAATTTCTTGGCCCTTTCCACGACTGATGGTCGACGGATATGTCGTCTGTAATCATCTTTTCGTCGTTAAGTTTTATAAATTGAAAGGTAAAGGTTAAAGTAGAAAGGTTTGAGCTTTCTTCCGGAAGAGGGAGGATTTAGTCGCCACAGGGTGTAGTAAACAATTACGATTTTTGTTATGTTGCCCAAATATTAACTATTAGGCATGCCACCTTTTGATATCATAACATTGTTTAA